AAAAAGCAACAAGGCTATAGACAAATTGAAAGCCTCTTGAAATTACACGCATTGGGAAAAAATCCCATTTCCCCACTGTACAAAGTACTCCAACTATGCATATACAATAGAGCTCCAATCTTTTCGTGAGGTAACCGAATATCGAGCATTTATCCGTGGACTTCAGGAACTTCAATGTGCCCGAGTCAAATTTACACTTTGAGCTCGGTTGAAAGGTGCTTTTGTTATGGTTCGACTTGTTCTCGGGCATCTTGACCATTATTGTCCTTGTCCTTGGATAGGCACCTGATCGGGACATAAACGAATCCCTTTGGAAGCCGTTGATTTTTCATGGATGCTTGGTCAGATGTCATTGAAAGCTCCTTTTCGAAGGTCTCCACGTGCTGCGACAAAAAAAAAAATGGCTAATCAAAATGTTATTTCACATATAAATAGTAAAAAAGTACGAGAGCTCGTACCAATTCAACACTCTTATTAAAGAAAGTGTAAAAATTTCTTAATTTTTAACTTTGGATTGAATAAAACTTTAAACATCAGGAGCAGTTTCGTGTAATTAATTCCAAAATGTATCCTTCAGATCTGACCTTACCTAGTCACAAAATACGTACATAGCTCAATATTACAGAATCACCCCTAAGGGGGATAATTGCAATTTGCAATATTATCATAAATGTGAGAAGGGGTTTGATGCAATGTGTTTGGTTTGTGCAAGGGTAGATTTAAAAAAAAAATATATCAGGGGCGCCTTTCTATTACACAAAGTTTGATACCAAACCCAGGGGTATTTCTGTAATTAAACTTAGATCGTCGTAAAAACTTACTTTTCTTTGTTTTTTTCGTTTATCAACATTGTCTGAAGGGTTCCGTGATGCGGCCGGAAGTCGTTTGGGGATTTGCTTCCCAGAAAACGATTTTCTCTCCACGGGTTTTAGCCTGTAAAGGTTTTGGGATGTGGAGCTATCGTCCGTTTTCTGATCGTTGTTGTCTACTGACAAATGAATCTTAATGCGTCTTTTACCGGCAACTGTGCTATCAACTGTCCCATCATCCGATCTTTGCACCAACTCACGACCTGATTTACACCCATCAGTATGACCTTTGATGGAGGTTGTGGCTGATCCGGAACTGACTTCAGGCTGGTAAAATGGGTGACGGGCCAAAGCAGAGAGAACAGAGTCTCGGTTTGAAGCAAGGACGTTGTGCGAGCAAATGACCAACTCACGCTGCACAGTCCAAAGACGAAAAAAAATTATTTTTGTACAGATTTTACACTAACCAAGCAAGGAGAAGTTCAACTTGTAATCTAATGAATATAAGAGAACTATAGTAGTCTACAATTAAAATATGAGGTTTAATTATGAAAAAACAATTGAGGTATGGTCGAATTACAATGATAGGTGTGATCCCGAAAAAATAATTTTTTTTTTTTTGGTTCAATGTTACAAAGTTGCCGCCTCAGTGGGGGCCTTTCCTTCGGATGCCATGAGAGGATATTTTCACTCTTCACAAGACATTTTGTATTTTCCTTTTCTTTCTTCTTTTGTGGTTGTAATTGGGCCGAAACTCAAGAATATATTCATATATTTATCACAAAAATAAAGAAAATGAATGAACTGAAATGCCTGATCTGCATGACAGCATGTATAACTGAGGAAAAAACATAAATGAAGAAATCTCGAAATAGTCGGCTTACTTTCAATTTCTCCCTTTTGATAATCCTTTCACATAGAAGACGCAGTCTCTCCAGCTCAACCTAAAGTGAACCATTAATCAGACACTTGAACTCGGATATTCGAATAATGAGAAAAGGAAATATTGGTGAAGAGAACAACCATTACTCAAACACAAAAACCATTACTCAAAGAAACACTTTTACTACTACATTCAATTAAGTGCACTTTAGCATTCCATAGACGGAACCACTACCACATGCACAATGAGAACAGCATATCACAAAATATAATAGTTATAACAGCAATTGATTCTGATATTGAACAAGTAATCAAACTGTGCATGTTAAATCGCAAGATATGAAATCCAGGCAGTCCGCACAGATACAGCAGTTGTTATAAGTACTCAACACTTTGAATCACCAAAACCCTTTTAAGTCATGTAAATTGTCCTTACATTATTACATCTGGATGAAAATAATAGTTAATTTCAGTATAAAAAGGAAGGCTCAAATAGCTTATTGCATATTAATGTACTCGAGAATAGTTCGACACAAAAGAGCAACACCACTATTTGTACTCCTTTTGATTTCCACTAGGCCTAAGTAGTAAGAAATAGAAAAATAATAACAGATATTACTTACCCTGACTTGCTTAAGAGACTTGAACTCCTCAATCCCATGCTTCTGAGCATCGGCCTGAAGGAATGGATACGACAAGATTAAAGTGAAGGTATAAGTAAATATTGAATATTGTAACAGGAGCCAAAAATTATAGAAACCTTTGCCCTTTGATCTGTGCTATGCTTTTCACAGTAAGCCTTATGTTGCAACTTGCCGCCATTGGTCCTAACAGTCATGAAGAAACCAGCATTTCTAGCACAAGTAGGGTGAAATGTTGTCTGACAATGACCATAGCTACACTGCAGATAGCACAATAATAACAAAACAATGAACGCTGAAGAGAAATCCATCGAATTAAGAAGTTCAGAAAAATCATAAATCACGTGATCTTCACCTTGAGGCAAACACCATGTTTGAGACGGCATACATTGCAAACATCAGCTCCTTTGGAGACAGTATCCTGGAAGAGATTAAACATTTACATATTAAAATTTGTCTAGGCACACAAAGACCCACAAAAAAGATAAGAGGGAATGAAAAAGAAACTCACCAATCCTGCAACAGGATTAACTTGCCCCCTTTTATATGTTGATTCTAACACCCACTACATTGAGATGAAAATGATAACACATGAGCTTTCCAGAGAATCAACTGGAACAATCCAGGTAGCAAAAACGAGCAGAACAAATAAGAGAGAGAGAGAGAGGGAGAGAGAGAGATTATTTACTTCAGCACATAAGGCGTGCACCCATTGATCATCCACTGACTTCCTAAAAGCCCCTGCTGTGCCCCCACACAAACTACATTCTGCAACAGAGTAAGGCTTCTCCCAAGAGTTTGTATCCGGTGCTCCAGAACATCGAGAAGAAAATTGGTCGTCACAAAATTCACAAAGCCAGGGCCCTGTGGTGCTTTTAACGCTACGGTAACAGTCCAAGTGAACTGCAACCTGAGATCCAACGACGAAAGAAAGGAATACCCAAAAATGTGCAAGAGTTAAAAAATTGAACTTTTGGAAACAAGCCATAAAGATTTTAAAAGAACACATCTGGAGAAACCTTGCAACTTGAACAGACTAAAACTGGATTCAGAACTGTCTCAGACCGTCTGCATATGTCACATGTCCGACAACGATCTTTTGGATTATCTGAAGCTAATTGGCCCAAATCGGTGTTCTTTTCAAGTGAAGCCCTTGCAATACCCAGCCTAGTAACAGTCTCTTTCACTCGAAGATTCAGCTGAGACTGCAACCCATTCCTCACATCAGATACATTCATCTTCACAGTATCCTGAAAAAACAATATAGAATAAATAAATAAATGACCTTGCAAAAAAATGGAAGGGGAAGAAAATCATAAACAGTGAAAACACTTGGCCAATATAACCTCCTGATGTAAAGAATCTTCTGGGGCATCTTTCCTAGTCGATGACAACCTAGAGGAAGCTGCTGCAGCAGCAGTAGCAGCAGCCAACACAGCTTGAGCTTCCATATGCCGACGCTCTTTTCTGCCTTGCTTTCTAGCTTCCTTAAGTTCACGATGGTACTGGTTAACCAGTACAGCATCCCATTTTCGTTTTCCAGAAGCATCCATCTCCTGCGGGAGGCTCCTAACAACCCTCGAGATCAAATCATCTGTGACACAATAAGCATTGAAAAAAAAAAAAAAAGAATCAATACAATCCTCAAAAGAAACAGAGTCCACTGCACTGCGTAAATGAGACCGCTAAAATGACGAGCTACGAAATAATAGAAGAGATGACAACAGGGGAATGCACAGACCACATATGTGTTTCCTCGAAACAGCATTGGAAATGAGTCGATGTTGATAATATAGAAGTTGTCCTTCCACTTCATCTGTAGGAGATAGTTTGAGTATTTCCATATTTCTTGCATCAAACAATTGATTGATATTCACTCCACCACTGCATTTAGAGGTCCGGTCGCTAGAAGTCCTTTGCAAGTTGCCGCTGTCACAACAGAGGCCAGCACTAGAAGATGCTCCCAACTGGGAAGCTTCCCGCTCTCTTAGAACTGTCAATAAGTACTTGAATATCCAAAACTAAACAGGGGAAAAGACAGGAGAACCAGAAAAGGAACATACCTGCAGTCTGATAAGATGCATCTTTCTCAAGCATCAATTTACTGTAGATGAATGGATGTATGTATGAAGCCTGATTAGCTTCCTCATTTCTACAGATCATTATGCATAAATGAGTAAAAATATTACAGAAGTCCCATTTGATGTGAAAGGATTAAAAGGTTGGAAAATAGCTAGGTTGGTTTATTAAAAATTATGCTCAAACACAATACATAAGTATGGTTTTAACAAAAACTTACATTGAGACAGGAGGACACGACATCAGCTGTTGAGATAGTCCAGATTTCTCACTGACACCATCTTCAGAGAGAAACTGCTTTAGAGCTCTCAGCTCGTCTGTTGCATAGAGAAGGCATAAATCAACAAAATTATATCTAGACAGACTACATCAGATTGCAGTCAGAATCATTTCACCAATAGCCGAAAATTTTGTGTAATTTCCAGGCAATAAATCATACAAGGAAATCAAGCATCACCATACTTTCAAGCAGATTAATATGTGATGCATTACAACTTCTGGATGATTGCATAAAATTAAATGCTTTAACTCCCAAGACAATTTATTAACTTTTGATCAGCTAGCTCACCTTCAATTTTGATAGAATTGTCCACTGAATCATCCTGGTGCTTCTGGTAGTCAATCAAAAGCTGCAAGACAAAAGGCAAGAGGTAAAGCTATAAAAACTTTAATCATACCTAAACAAACTGCATGATACATATTCAGTGAAACTAATTCAGTCACAGCATGGTAAAAAAACAATAAATGGGTACATCTAACTAAACCAGATTCACGACTTTAAGAAATTAATAATATATATAACATTGATGTAACTCACTCATGTCAAAGTCAAACTGTCATGCAAGTATTGATGATACTAAATCCACTATCATTAAATAATTCTTGACACGTGTAATGATGGGTTGATTAATATCCTTTACATGCAATACCAACACTTGGCAGCAGTGGGCAATAAATGTTCCAGAGTCCATTTTTGAACTACAACATAGAAAGTCTCAATAGTTTAAAGAAAAATAAATGCAAAAAATCATGGCACTTAACTATTACTGAAAACCTACCACGCAAAGCATCATCATGGAAAGATGACAATACCTTATTGGTACCATTAGGCAAAGACCTGCTAGATGGATCATTTATATTGTCTCTCATAGCACATGAATCAACACCACCCTCATTTGTTTCATCATTATTGTTGTCCTTGGAGTTGGAGGAGCACGACTTTTCATCGTTCACAGTCCCTATAATGCTTTTGGTTCTTCTGCGAGGTGGAACAGATTTGACTGGAACAGAATCAGAAACATTGGACTCCTCTACTAGAACAGCATCACCGTCTTCAGCTACATCAGCCACATCTTTGGAAGCTCCAAGTGATCTAACCTTCACTTTCATTGTTCTCTGTAAGTTGGCAATTTGAGCAGGGTTTTTCAGCCATCTAAGTAGCTTACACTGTAACTCTGGTACCATGTGATTATCCTGCAAGGATCCAAAGAGGCAAAAGAAAAGTAAACCAATATCAGGACAAGGGCAAAACTGAAAACAGAAAAGTAGAAAATAAATCAACGTAGCTCCATTATTACAGTTAGTATCTTGTCCAATGAATCCAGTGAAACACCAATCTCTGAGGCAACACCTTCGGAACTGACTTTCCCTAGATCAATGAACTATAGAAGATGGAAGATAAATAAGTGACTGAAAAATAGTGTATCTTACGTAAAAATCGTAAGCTACCTTCTTCAGTATCATAGAGAAACTGAGAACACTGCAAGCATTAACATCTTCATTATCATTCCCATCAACCGGATGCATTGCATCTCCATATTCTGGATGAGAGTACGAATTTCTTATGTTGTTGATTAAGTCCTCACCATCCAATAGAATATCATTAAGCTTCCTAACATCCAGATCAGCTGTTTCAAAGGGGATAGCCAACTTATCACCATTTTAACTTGAGAGATCCATTAAATGAAAAGGCTAACTTTTGATTTTAAAAGACGTAGGAACTAGAATCACCTGCTAAGGAAATATCACCAGCATCTTGAAAGCCGTTATCACTATGTACTTCTGTATGTTTTGTGCAAAAAGCACGCAGTTCAACCTAAAAGGTAATACAACAATTCACAATAAGTCGTAAAATACTGATTATTACAACATGGAGCTTACAGAAGCAATAACTACAATAATCAAAATAAATAATGTTTCTATAATCAAAATAGACGACATCCCCGAAGTTTTCAACTTCCCTGGTTTTAAATTGATATTTCCACAAGGCTAAAAACAACATAAGTATATTTCGGCTCAACATAAATTAAATAACAAAAGAGGACACACCTCATCCGATCCAAGTTTTCCCCAAATCTCCATTCTAAGTCTTGCCTCCCTTGCACAAATAGGATGGAATGACAGTCTACAAGATCCTAATAAATATCAAATGAAACAACAACAATCAGCAACAATAACCATTTGTCCATATTTCGAGAAACAATATCTCTTCATAATAATATCTTAAACAAGGAAGCTCAATCTACTAAAACGTCTTTATATTAAGCAAATAACTATTAAACAAACAAGAAAACAGTCTGGAGAAAGAATACAAACCAATAAATTGTTGGAATAGCAAAACTCTTGTCATAAACAACTGAGAATAAGCTTGAGATGTGTATGAGATAAAAACAGTAGCTGCTAGATAAACTTAAGATATTAGGTCTCATTCATACCAAGAATGGTCTGCATTATGAGGTAATGGCAACACTGCTAGAGATAGAAAAGGAAAAGATACACGATAAAGAGTGTTATAAGTTCCTGTCACTTCAACAATATATCATTCCAGTGATTTTTAGGTGTATAAGCCAATTAGTTTACTTTTAGCACTTAAGTTAAGGATATAATCTTCGAATTTGGCATTCGATCAGGTATATTCATTAAACTTCCACATATCACAACAGGCCGTACAAAAATAAAGTACGCACCAAGGAAAAATTATCTCTCATGTGCATGCACGTTCAATATAGATATCAAATTGAGTTTTGGAAAATCAACCAATGCCAAGTGCAGCAAAGGAAATATGGACCTAGAAAGGTGCCCGTGTCCATAAATAAATTAGTGAAACATTTCTATGAACTAATATGTCGTGTGTGGTTAATTCCTACTGCCTTCTCGACTTTAAACTATCATTTCTTCTAGCGTTCGTTCCAATAAGAACATGAACTAAAAGTCCACCGGAGCATTGATTGAAAAGTCCAAAATTTCCAAATTAGTCGACTTCGCAAAATTTTGCTGTGAACAATATATCTCGGGAGAGATAATGCCAGGCCATATGCTTTTTATGCATGCCAAATGCCCTGGCTAAGTAAAGAAACCAATCTGAACAGAACATTTGTAACCGAAAGCTTAAAATGTGAACGGGACTTGACTCACAACAAATAGTTCAGTGGGCTACAACAGTTAATGCACAAAACTGCAAGCACTTAATATTACTAAAAACCAACTTTTATTGTTAACAATTTTCTTTTATGCCAGCTAGTTTAAGTTTTTAGAAAGGCCCAATTTGACAGGGCTAAAATGGGACCAAAAATAGTTTCAGATCACATAATTCTTCTGACTGACCACTCCAACAAACAAATGTGCGACCATAACATAAGAAAGCAGCAAAACATACCATTACTGCACCTGACACAGGCACCATGTTTAATCTTGCACAGATAACATAGCAACTTTCGTCTTGTGTCCTTCAATTCATCCACATTCATGATTGGTTCCATAGCCCTTGTGTTTTCCAAATAAACCTCAGGTATCCACTGGCAACAGAACAAATGGGCAAACTCTACCTTCGACCCCTCATAGTCACTCCCAAATCCCCGTTTCTGCACGGGCTTCAGTGCACCACCTTGCTTTGGACATAGGATACATGGTATTGCTTTGCTCAATTTCACAACATTTTTCCATTTACACCAGGAACACGACCAGGAACTATCCACATCATCTTGAACTCCATAGCACCTCTGATGGATTGTCATCCCACATGAACCACACTCAATCAACAAATTTAAGGGGTCACCCGTGTGCCCATAACTACAATAGTGACAGACTGACTCTAAACCTTCAACAGGGCGCGCCACGAGGAGCTTCTCTAACCCTGCATCCTTCCCCAAAAGCTTCCGCTTCTTGGAGGGCCTTTCTGATGCCAAATATATTTTACTTCTAGATCCTAAAAGCCACTCTACACCACTAAAAGAAGTTGAATCATTCTCACAGTTCAGTCTCTTCGGTCCATTACTTTCTTCTTTCATCAGAAACTTTTTTGCGGCTACCTCATCTAGATTAACATCAACAGAAGCAAACCCCTTCTTTTCTTGTGCCGTCCTTACATCAATCTCGAGATCCCCATTACTTTTCAACTCAGCACATTTTTCCAAGTCCACCCTATTCTCATCTGATGCCACCCTATTCTCGTCTGATGGATTTGCGAACATCCTATTAAACGAGTCACAGTAAACACGCAAATTACCATCACTGACGAGGTAAGGAACTGAGAAACACTTGTCTTCGCTGGAAAATCCAGAACTCGAAAACACATCCAGCCTCTCAACATCCTCGAGGGTCAGTTCCCGAAAATACTCCTCAGTTTCAACCCAAATGTTGCTCCCACGAGCCTTACCCGGAGCTGAAGACTTCTTCTCCGAGCCCGAATGCAACCTCTTGTGCCGCTTCCGACCATCCGCATGCCTGCCCAGCAAATGAGACACCCCACTCGGCAGGGAACTCACAGCGGATACCGTAGCGGGAGAAGCCTGCGAATCTTCGGAATCGAATGGAGAACGAAGGGAGAGCGCCTTACGAGCTTGTGCGTACAAGTCAAGCTCCACTGTGGACGTAGGGGGCAGTTTCGTCATTTCCGAAGAACCCGAGGGCTTTTCGGTAAATTCCAGATCCAAATTGGGGATATCGTGTCTACCGTCGGTTTTCTCCGATTCCGCGGCGCCCCCGCCGCCGGCCATGGATCTCCGCCCCTTATGACATCTGCCTTCACCAGTCATCTCGCCGGACGTCCAATTTCACCACCTTCAACCTCCCAGCATCCCATCTCCCAAAAAAATCCAAACCCTAAAACAATACAACCTAATTACGAATCCAATCAGATCCAAATTACTGCTTCACGAAGGGATAAGAGATATACAGAGACGAGGAAAAGAAAGAGGAGATTGTGCGTGAATGGTCTCCGTTCACGTGCGGCTGGTTGCGTCTAGGGTTAGGGTTCCTGTTCAGTTTTGGGGCTAAAAGAAAATTGGGCCTTTTTTTTATTTTTGTTAAATTATTTTTAGGTCAGTACGTGTTTGGAATCCAAAAGTTGGATCCGTTTTTTTGGTGTTTTCTTTTGATATTTTTAGAGAGAGAGAGAGTTCTTTGTGGGACGTGGGTATGCACTGATAAGAGTATGTAACGGATTTTATATCACGATTTTTAAGGCGTAATTATAAGTTACATATTTTTAGGTTTGATAGTGAATTTTTATCTTATAGTTGAAAAATTATGATAAAAGTATTTAGTAAATTAGTTTATAAGTTAACTAAAATAATAATATAATAATTTTAATAAATTTATTTGAAAAGGTACTAAATATACAAGATAAGCTCATCTCCAACCGAAAATTTATTTTTAAACTCATTTTGCAGTAATTGTCACGTTTTACAATAATTCATTTCTAACCCAACAACTCATTCTCAAACCCAAAATATTCTTGAAATATTCTCTTTTACATCAACTTTTACAACTTTTCAATACTATTCATATGTTTTACAACTTTACAAATTAAACCATATTATTATTTTAAATTCAATTTGGACATTATGTAATAAAATTAATTATAAAGTTATAACCATATACATAATAAATCAGAGAAATTAATATTCATTAAAAATTAAAATTTAAAAATTACAACACACAAGATAAAATTAAAAATTACAGCGCACAAAATGAAAAATTAAAAATTACAACACACAGAATAAAATTAAAAACTACAACGCACAAGATGAGAAATTAAATAATAAATATAATATTTATAATTTTAAATATTATACTATCTAATTTTTATGAATTTTTTTTTTTAGTATTTTACATTATTATTGTAAAAATATAAAATTAATATGTATATTTACTCTATTATAACTAGATATAAAATAAACACTTGGGTTTGTATATATGTTTCAAAAATATTTTTACAGTTATTGGATTAAACTTGTTGTCAAATATGCACAATCTATAAATGTTTCATAAATATTACAACTTTTATTGTTATTTTATTAAGTTTTAAAATTTAAAAATATATAATGAAGAGAAAAATAAAACAAGGTAAAATCAAATGATGGGTATACAAAATAACAATATAAATGACACCCTATAAAACAAATAGGACCAAATTATAAAAAGATTTTGCGTTTCGAAACAATAAAACGCAAATTTGGTGTAGAAGAGGAGAGAGAGTTACGAAAACTCATTTTGCGTTTTCCTTTTGGGTATTAGTTGGGGGCAAATCACTCCATTTTTTTAGTTTTCGGTGCCGGTTGGAGAAGGTCTAACAAAATAAATTATAAGTTAAGTTACAATTCTTATCAAATACACTCGTATAATAATGCATATATTCCTTATGATAGTTTGTGTAAATAAACTCTGTAATTACAAACTATAAAACAACTAGAAACAAATGAACAAGGTGACCAACAAAGTTGAATTTATAATGAGCTCTACATGGAGGTAGTCTCAAACTCACAACACAAAACATACTTGAACTAAGTGAAAACTATCTAAATCCAACACAAGAGAATAAAACACTCTAATAATACAGATATAAAATGAAACCTAACAAAACACACACACACACACACAAACACAATAAACACATAAAAATAAAAACAAACAAACAAAAATATTTAGAAAAAAAATTACAATAAGATGAAATAAAGTCTTTGATACATAAATTAACTCGTCACCACCACCAAGCCCACTAACTCTAAGCCACCAGCACCCGCCCTCATATAGGCCATCAGCTAGAGTTGCTAAATTAAACGGGTCGCTCGTCGACTCAGCTTGTTGAGGCTCTAGCTCGGCTCGGCTCGTTTGAAGAATGAGCTGAGCTCGAGCTCATTTAAAACTTATTCAATTAACAAGAAAAGTTTGGCTCGACTCGATAAGACTTGTTAAGGCTTTAAAAGATGATTTTTGTATTTTTCTATAGTTCGACTCGATTTTGGCTCGTTAAAACACGAGCTCGATTCTATAATATTGATAGACGGGTGAAGCTTGAACTCGATTATAAGCTTGTTAAGGGTTCGGATCGTCAACACCAACAAACTTTATGGTCACTTATCTTACAGATGAAGCAAGGATCGATGATTAAAAGCCAACAAAACAGAAAACAATAATATATATCTATATGAAAACGTTATCTTTGTTTGTCTTGTTTTTTATAAAATTTTAGCTTGGAGTTGTACATATCGATTCAAAAATATATTTGTCTAATAGTTAAGTTAATGATGTAATTTAATGTTTGATAATGCTAAGAATTTTATTGTGTATAGTGTGATTAGATTCTACCTATAAAAAATAAATGATTGGTCAATTGAGTATAAATTTGCTATAATTTGCACGGGTACCATTTCCGAAGCAAATAAAGTAATCCGGGCATACTTGGGAATCACATTTAATTCGAAAACAAAAAACATTTGAATTAATTGATCATTTGACTATGCTGAAATTAATTGATGACTATATTCACATTAATATTTATATTTTATTAGTTTTTTAGCCAAAAAAAAAAAAACATTTGAATAAATTGATGATTTCCCATCTACTATCCCGCTAACATGGTTATACTTTTAAAAATTTAATTTTAAGGCATATACTTATTCCTTATTATAAGAAAAAATAATCATTTTACTTATTCGTGTTCACCATATAATACGTAATTATTATTTTATAAAATTATATAATATCATTATTTATTATTTACAAAAGTTGTAGAAGTAGTCTTCTTATTTTTTAATGTAAAAAAATATTAATTTACGTCAATATTGTCTATTAATGTAATAATTTAAATTGGGTAAATGAAATTAAAATAAAATACTGTGTATAACTATTTTGCAAAATTATACAAATGTTTTTCTTAGAATTATTTTTTTATAATGATTAAACAACTTTGATTATAAATTGACAAAAATTTAATTTCTTTAATAATCAAGAGATTTTTAATTTTGCATCCTAATGCTTTATAGTTTATTTATAGTATACTATGCACTGTAGATATATTTTACAGAAATTTAATTATGGAAAGAAACAAAAAAAACGATAAAAAATTAATCATAGTCAACAATAATATACAAATAAACTTGTTGAAATTATAAAAAATAATTAATTTATTTCAATTATATTATATGGCCATTAGTAAAACTATTTAACGTATTCAGTCATTATCACTTAGATGGTAAATTATATTAATTTACAAATTTTTTATACATAATGAAATCAAGCTTAAGAAAAATTTATATTAGTAAAAAGTAACCATTGAAAATCAAAATTTTAGTTTATTATAATTAATCTCAATAAATTATTGCAGATGTTAATAAATTATTCAAGAAAGAATATTTTTAGACAATTAATGCAAATATTTAAAAAATTCACAGAAAGATTATATATTAAATATTTTTAATTTTTTACTATTATTTTTAGTAAAATTTGATTCTCCTTATATAGGTATATAGATAGATTGTTGAAATAAAATAAACCCTTAATTCCCAAAGATGTTGTACTAAGCCGGGAGAAGAATGCACTTAGACATATATATAATGGGCCTCACATTTCGACCTAAAAATGAAGGTTGGGCTAGTTTATTAAACTCTAGCCTATATTGGTCATGGCCCAATCCATGACATTTGGCCACACTTCACAAAGAAACACAGACAAAAGTACAGACCGAAAAACACAGACAAAAGAACACAATAGCCATAAAATTAAAGCCCTTCCTAAATTCGGACAATGCCAAACAACCTCGATAGCAACACCAAGACCGACCACCGAAACAGGCCGGTCAACGACCCAATTTTCAACCCCAGAAACTGCCACACAAGCTTAATTAGAACCGAAACCCGAGATCCCAAACTCGCCGACCCCAACTCCTCAGCCGGAGGACAGCCTCCACCACACCACCACCGCCCCGTTCCCAGCCCACACCACGGTCGAGCCCGACACGACACACGACAGCCATCCCGTCACCCCTAACACCACGAGAGAGCACCTAATCGGCAATCACGGCCACAACCCGCCCCGTCAGCAGCACCGCAGCCCGCCTCTGCCTCGACGCCATGGAAACCGACGACCTTCAACCCAGGATGACAGCCGAATCAGGCGAAATCCACTCGGGAGAGCTGAGAAGACGACCCCAACACCAAATTGGGTCCGCGTCGCACAGCCAGGAACCGACCACCGTCGAGGAGAGAGAGAGAAGGAAAAAGCGTTGAAGAGGACATTTTTTGTTGAAAAATAATTAGAAATATGTAAGTGGTTGAACATTAATAAATATTTATTTTGTAATTGCACTCGTGGTGTTCTAGAGAAAAGTAAAATGAGATAAAAACTAGTTGGATATATTCACCTCTTAATCTTATCCAAGCGAGTTCGATCCTCCATTTCGACTATATTATGTTCCATCTTGTAGTTCACTAGTTGGATATTCACCTCTTATCCAATTTATTAATTACAGAAACCTTACTCAAATCACGCTACTAAGTCATAAATTTGTCGAATTTGCAGACTCTGAACATTTCACAACTCATCATGATGTTGTTTTAACCACATCAAATTTGTTCAAATTTAACTTCGCCTTTTTTTGTGTCCTTTCTTGATTGTGCCATGCACGCAACGTAGAATGTAAAATTCTCGGAAAATAAAAAACACACATGCACATATAAGTAATAAGTATTATACTATCATTAGCGGTTCACATAACAACATTACATGACTTTAATGCACCAAGTGCTAACCATAACATAACATTCTTAGGTACCAAAACATAACTTACGATTATTATTCTCAATAGTCGAGTATTAGGAATTGATATATAGAATTGTCACTCTTAGGATATATAATATAATTGGACACTACAAACATGCCCAAATTAATCACTTCTACGGCACATAGCCACCACGTGCCCCGCCGTAGCCTCCCCCATAGCCGCTGCCCTCACCGCCACCATAACCTTTGCCGGCGTACCCACTGCCGCCACCGGAACCACCACCTTCTCCACCTCCGTATCCTCCGCCGCCAGGCCCTCCGGCACCCCCACCTCCGCCTCCACCATGCCCACCTCCACCTCCATAGCCACTGCCGGCACCGCCATAGCCGCCTCCGGTGCCGCCACCCTCTCCACCGCCTCTACCATATCCTCCACCGGCCGCGCCACCACCGCCGCCTCCTCCACCTCCACCACCACCACCTCCTCCACCTCCACCACCAATCCCACCACCACCATACCCGCCGCCTTCTCCTTTTCCACCACCACCTCCATAACCACCACCGGCCTGAC